GCTCAGGCTGATTCTGCAGGAGCATCATGAACAGAGAGCTCGAGACGCCTGCAGCCTGATCTCAGACCTGCTCAACACGCCGCTCCATCAGCACACACCAGCCCAGCACACACTCAGGTCAGAGCAATGCATGCTGGGATTGCATCATAACAGTCTGGCAGTTGTTGCTAAAAGAGATACAGCTGTGGTCAGAAGTATTATTCGTGTTATTCAATAAATTGCTCATTAAATTGTATTTTATTAATGTCCACCTCTACCCCAACCATCACATTAATGTAAAAACTGTAATTATACAGAGCATTATTGATAGTATTGATTAAATTACCCATTCAATTGTATTTTATTAATGTATACCACTACCCCAACCATTACAGTTACATAAAAACAGTAATTATGCAGAGTTTTATTCATATTCAGGGTTCAACGCCTAGGATTTTTTCTACAGGCCCAATCGGGCCAATGGTTCCGATTTTTACTTGCCCTGCCAATATTTTCACTGGCCCCACCAAAAAAAAGTTAATAGCTATTTCTTAGCCACAAATAAAAAAAAAGTGTCAAAATGTTTGTAAATATAGAATTTAAATATTTAAAAAAAATTATAAATGTGTAATGAGCAAAATTCAAAGTGTTTTGAAACAAAAGATGGCTAAAGACCGGCCAAACTGACGGCAAACTGTACAAAAGATCACTTAATTTTTTTTAGTTGTGGTGTACCCTGGTATATGTCTGCTTCCAAGACGTTAGAAACAAATGTTTTCCTTTAGCTTCATCATTTGATGTTACCGCCATGTTGCTGTTTCTTCCTTGTACTAATAACGTGCTCACAACATCCAATCAGATAAGAAGAACCGAGAAGGTAGCATTTGAAGGCTTGAAAATACAAACTGTTTCTCAATTCTAAAACTGTATTTGCACGCAGTTAACAAATAGTCACTGGCAAATTAAACTTTAGTAACAACGCAGCAGTGGCCCGATCGGGCCAGTAACGATCCTGTCTACTGTCCCGAGCATCTCACACGCTGGCCCCGGGCCATCGGGCAGTCCTTATTGTTGAGCCCTGATATTATTTATTAAATTGTGCATTAAATGTATTTTATTAATGTCTATCCCTACCCTAACCAGAGTAATGTAAAAAGATAAGGCCGTACAATTTAGGGATGGGTAATATCCGGGGCTAGACAGACATTTGTAGCTATTTCTGCACCGTTTATTCATTCATTAATTTTTCTTCGGCTTAGTTAATTAAAAAAAATAATAATAATGTTTTTTCTCTAAAGATTCAGGACTTTTATTTTGGTGGATATTATGGGTGGGACGGTTCACATATTTTTCCATTTGGTTCATATTGTCGTGGTCATGGTTTTTCGGTTTGATCCAGTTAATAATGTAAGAAAAATCCTGTATTGTAACACTCAAATACCATTTATAAACACCATACATAAGCACAAAATACAAAGCTACAAAATACAAATACAAAACACAAAGTTTTAGCTCACAATACCACACAAATAATGTTTAATAGCTCTCTGAAACTGACCCTTTCAGGCTTTGATCCTAATTGTGGTGTTTTAGTGACTGTCACTTTAAATTCAAATGAGATTGTGCACTTTTTAAAAAAGGGCGGAGCTACAGACGCCTGTGTGTCAGCATAGTGGCAGATTTAAAACAAGTTAAACGCCCTATGCTAATGATACAGAGATGATCACTAGTGGGCGGGGCTTTTACCCTCTGATGGCACGTACAAAGGGAGAACGTCAATCAAACTGAATGTTACTTGATTTTTTTTCTATGCACCATCCCATCCCTGGTGTATACATATAAATGATATCATCATTAATTAATATCGTTATGGTAATAAATACAAGAAAACATCATGAAATGTCACAGATAGTCCATATCACACATCATCCCTAATACAGATGATGCTCAATGCCCTGTGCTGTGCTTCAGGAGCAGAAGTCAGTCCTCTGGGAAGCAGAAGAGATTTTCAAGCAGTCCGAGCGGCGCACACACACTAGGAAAGACTGTTGTTCTTCAGAGGAAACCTGCGGTGAAACCCCACGGCTCACTGAGCGGCAGACTCGGCCTGCACAGACCAGGTGCACTTCTATTCTCTGTTATGGAGCCTTTTCACAAGATGGTTAGGACACGTTTAACGCTCATCAGCATCTTAAATCCTTGAAAGATTTTAATGTTAACATTCATTCATTCATTCATTCATTCATTCATTCATTCGTTTTCTTTTCGGCTTAGCCCCTTTATTAATCAGGGTTCGCCACAGCGGAATGAACCGCCAACTTATCCAGCATTTGTTTTACGCAGCGGATGCCCTTCCAGCTGCAGCCCATCACTGGAGAACATCCATACAAACTCATTCTCACACACACACACACACACACACACACACTTATACATTTATACACTACGGTCAATTTTAGCATACCCGATTCACCTATACCACATGTCTTTGGACTTGTGGGGGAAACCAGAGTGACCTTCTTGCTGTAAGGCGAATGTGCTACCTACTGCGCCACCTAAATGTTTGTATATTTAAAATAAAACATATGAACATTTATATGTATTTATGTATGTATTATATCATCTTCACATCAAGTTACAAACAACTAATTACCGCTAATACAGTAATGCAGTGTCTATGAGTGCAGGACAGTAAATCTGACTTTATTCTCTCTTCCGGCTGCCGTTATCAGTCTCGCACTATTGTTTACTTCTTTCTGAAAGTCTTGATCACACCATCCTGGAGTTTTTCTGTCATTATTTCAGCAAATAGGCTTGTAAATAAATGATTTGCTGTACTCTCCCATTCACTGCGCTCTGAGTTCACCAACTATGACCACTTCTGCTGCTGTGCAACACACTCATGTGAAAAGGCTCCATTGATGCTGATTGATATATGTTGTAAAGCAAACATGTCCTCAATCCCCTGATCCTCCTCCAGCCAGTGCTCTGCCAGCAGATCGGCTCTCTCAGGTCACTCGCCGCGGGATGCTGAGCGACAACAGAAACAGACAGAACAGGAGCGTTCAGCACAGTACGGACATTTTTACACATTTACACACGTTTTGAACACATTTTAATGTTAATCTGAGATTTATATATATATATTTATTTATATATTTATTTATAATATTTATATATTATATGTTTCCACACACAAAGAATATAATAAAGCATTTATTAAAAATGTGCAGTATATATGTGGAGTTGAAGGCAAAATTATTAGCCCACCTGTGCATTTTTATTTAATTTTTTTTATAATAAAGTGCTGTTTAATGAAGATGTATTCAGCACATTTCTAATCATAATAGTTTAAATAACTCATATCTAATAGCTGATTTATTTTCTCTGTCATTATGACAGTAAATAATATTAGACTAGATATTCCAGACACTAGTATTCAGCTTAAAGTGACATTTAAAGGCTTCACTAGGGTAATTAGGGTAAATAGGCAAGTCAGTTGTTTATTTAATTGACAAATAAAAATATTATAATTACTAAAGCTAATAATATTTTTAAGATAATAATTATTGTGTTACAGCTAAATTAAAACATCGTCCAGAAGCAAAATAGTAGGAAATACTTTGTAATTTAGTTTATGTTTTGTACATCATTTGGAAAATATTTTAAATATATTGTGTTTGTCTTCAACTGTACACTACCTGACAAAAGTCTTGTGGTGGATCCCGGTTGTAAGAGCAACAAATAACAGCGTGACTTCTAGTCGATCGTTTGGAAAAGTGTCAGAAGGAGGATTTCTCTGATGGATCATCTGTTGATCTGCATTTCAATCATCACCAATACTGCAGAAGTCCTACTGGAACCTGTATTGAGCCAAGATTCTCATAGAAATCAGTCAAGTTTGGTGAAGGAGAAATCATGGTTTGGGGTTACATTTAGTGCGAGAGGTCTGCAACATCAACAGCCTGAGGTATCAAGACATCTGTGCTGCCCATTACATTACAAACCACAGGAGAGGGACAATTCTCCAGCAGGATAGCGCTCCTGCTCATACTTCAGCCTCCACATCAAAGCTCCTGAAAGCAAAGAGTGCTCCAGGATTGGCCAGCCCTGTCACCAGAGATGAACATTATTGAGCTGATGAAGGAGGAGGCGTTGAAGATGAACACAAAGACTCTTGATGAACTCTGGGATCCTGCTGAAGGCTTTCTTCTTCATTCCAGATGACTTTATTAATCAGTGATGTGAGTCATGTCAGAGATGTATGGATGCAGTCCTCCAAGCTCATGATGGAGTCAGACATAATATTCATTCTGTCTCCACTGCAGCAGGACTTTATATTCTATACTGGACATTATTTCTGTTCAGCGATGAGACTTTAGTCTAAGCAGAGTCAGATCTTACTGTCCTAATGAAATCATTAATAATCAAGGCATGATCAGATTTTATTGTGGTCAAATAAGCAAAATCTAGAGGCCTTTACCTTTCATATAAGACACTTCTGATACCAAATGATCAACTAGAAGTCAAATAATTATTGGTTGTTCCTAAAACTTGGATAGGTGACAGGACTTTTGTTAGGTAGTGTTATATTTAGTGCTATATAAAGTGTTATATTTACTATTTTAGTCAATATGTTCTCATTTGACATGAGGAGTTTGGTAACATCCAAAGAGTATAGAATAGAAATAACACAGTAGAGAAAATAAAATAAAAATAAATAAATCAATTTTTTCTAAAGGCCAGGGAGTTCTTTAGAGGATTTAATAAATTTGTCTTGGAACTTGCGTTTCGAGCCTCGAATCATGTATGTAGGGTGCTTTCACACCTACACTTTTGTTTCGGAACGTGTCTCGTTTGCCCAGTTAGCGCAGTTCGTTTGGCATATGTGAACAGGGCAATCGCGCTCTGTTCCGCGCCAAAGTTATTGCTCCGAGATCGCTTGAGTGAGGTGGTCTCGGCTCGATTGAAACAAACCCTGGAGTGGTTCGATTGCAGTGAGAAAGCAATCCGATCCGAGCGCGGTTATATCACAGTGTTTTATGGATATGTAAAAGGCTTACGGCTATATGAAGAGAGAATTATGAGTAGGGCGGGAAGTTTCACGAGTCTCCGGATGCCCGCAAATGAGTGATGATCTCCCGGTAATCTCGCGTCTCCCTCCCGGTCCTCAAATAGGCATCGTCGCGCACCCTTCTCACCCCTCCCCACCGTGTCTCTCCTCAGACACGTCGCACGCGCGCACAACCTGTCAATCACCACCAAACCACCACCTCTCCTGACAGCTGAGCGGGACGCTGCAAAATAAACCCTGACACTCTGACCAATGAGAGGAGAGTTTACTCGCACGTGACTTGTTTTAGCTCTTTTGGTCCGATTAGAAACTTTGCAGTGTGAAAGCGAACCGCTCCAAGAGCAAAGAGCAACAATGTAACAATTGTAATCTCTGTTTCAGAACAACTGAATCGATTCACAGGTTTGAACGCACCCTTAATCTTTTCCAATGTAATGTAAGACATCACTTTATTGATCCAGCCAGCTTCTGTTGGGGGGGTCTACATTTTTAAGGCTCTTAAATGTTTTCCTGGTCTTTTAAATGTATTGTATTTCCAGTTGATGTCTTATGTCAAGCATCAAACAGAGATGCATTTACAAGTAGGCTTTAGTTCATGATAACCATAACAACCCCAAAAAACCGATATAATCTTGTAAGTACATGACAGGCAAATATATGCTAATGCTGTGTGTTTGTTGTTGATTAGAGATGGGCAGTGGTGTGCAGTCATCCTCCGTGAAGCAGGATCTGCAGGCGGGTGTTGAGGATACTAATGAACTGAACACTGAGAGTGTGTGGAGTCCTGCAGATCAAGAGCACAGGATCCTCATGCTGGACCCGCAGCACAACACACCGGTGAGAAATACACCGCAGCACTTTTACATTCAGTCATTCAGCAGATGCTTTTGTCCAAAGTGACTTACAATCGAGGAGGCATTCAGAGACTCAGCAAGAAGAGGCAATACACACAACAACTGCTGATTATACAGAGGGACTGTTAGTGCTCAGAGTAGTACAAATGAAATCAAAACTAACCGTATTGATTTTGTTAGCTTAAACTGGCAGTTTTGTTAGATTTGTTTTTGTTTATTGTGAATTTTTTTGTTATATTTTAGTTCATTTTTTGACAAATAGTTTCAGTTTTTTCCAAAACAAAACAAAAAACAAAGACTAAATGAAACAGAACGAAATGAAACAAAGAAAATTCAACAAAAATCAACACAAAACATAAGAAAAACAAAACAAAAACCCAAAAGAAAACATTACATATTAAACCTAAACTAAAACAGTAAACTAAAAACAATCCAAAACTAAAATAAATAATCAAAACTCTTAACTAAACAAAAAACAAAACCAAAACTTAAAACAAGAGCTTAAAACAACAAAACTAAACAAAAAACAAAACGTCCCAAAACAGAACGAAATGAAACAAAAACCTAAAAAATCTAAACTAAACTAATAAACAAAAAACAAAACAAAGCAAAACCCAAAACAAAACAGAACAAATACTTTAAGCAAAACAAAACAAAACCCCCCAAAAAAACAGAACAAAAATTTAAAACAAAAACCCTAAAAAAAAGTTACAAAATAAACTTAAACTAAAACCTAAACAAAAAAGCAACCCTAAAGTAAACTAAAATAAACAAAAATCTTAACTAAACCAATAAACAAAAAACAAAACTAAAACTTAAAACAAACAAAACAAAAACCCTAAATAAAACAGAACGAAAATGAAACAAACCCAAAAAACCTAAACTAAAAAACAAAACAACAAAGAGGGATATGAAACAAAAACCCTAAAAAACTAAATGAATAAACAAAAAAAATTATGAAACAAAAACAAAATTCCCAAAGAACACGTTACAAAATAAACCTAAACTAAAGCAATAAACAAAAAACAACCCCAAAGTAAACTAAACGTAATAAACAAAAACCTTAACTAAATGAATAAACAAAAAACAAAAACAAAACTTAAAATAAAAGCTTAAAACAAACAAAACAGAACAAAAACCCAAAACAAAACAAAAACTTAAAACTAGTTTAAAACAAGCAAAGCAAACCAAAAAGCTTAAACAAACTAGAACAAAAACACAAAACAAAAGCTCAAAAGAAAACGTTAAAAAACAAAACTAAACTAACCCTTAACTAAATAAACAACAATCAAAACTTAGAACAAAACAAAACAAAACAGAGCAATATGAAACAAAAAACCCAAAAAATAAACTAAAACCTAAATTAAACCAATCAACAAAACAGCAAAATGAAAAAAAAAATCCAAAAACAAAACGATATGAAACAAAAACCCAAAAACTGAAACTAAAACCTAAACTAAACCAACAAACAAAACAAAACAAAACTAAACTAAACGATATGAAACAACCCCCCATAAACTAAAACCTAAATAAACTAATAAACAAAATAAAACAAAACAAAAACCCAAATCAAAACAGAACAAAAAATTATAATAAAACAAAAAAAAAAAATCCCAAAAGAAAATATGACAACACAAAAGAAAAACTCCAAAAACTAATCAAAAGGAAAATCTAAATATTAATGAAGATGAAGTATTGGATGAAGCAGTATTGAGTGTTGACTGCTGTGTGTGCGTGTGTGTGTGCTGCAGGATCTACTGGATCTGGACGCTCTCTCTCCGCTCAGCTCAGGCAGTGTGTTGAGTCGGCTGGACTGGGCTGAAATCGAGCGTTTGGTGGCGGACGAACAACAGCAGGACTGAAGCTTCTTCTGCCTCCAGATGTTGCACAGCTGCAGATCTCCACTGTGAAGGATTGTGGGATTTGTGTACGACTGGAGCATTTGTGTTGAGGGCACAGATTCCAGCACAATAAACAGAGATGGCTCATGCTGGGATTGCTTTACTGATACCTGACAGCACACAGGACCATTTACTTTAATGTGATTATCTGTAAATAAAAGCGTCGTCTTGCATTTCTAAGATTCGCTGTTGAAAATCCTTTAATAAAATGTCAAGCTGAAGGTCTCGTTGGTCTGATTTGTTATTGACAGCCGTTCATAATTCATCAGTAACATGTGCAGAAATGTAAATGACTATTTACAGCTATATAGTAATATTGTAATGACAGGTATTTACGTAAATAACTGAGATTATTTCATAGGTTGTCATTGGTGTTGTGTAAGTTACTTCAGGCCTGTAGCCAGCCTGGTGAAAGGGGTGGTTCTTTTTTTTCAAAAAGTGGACCTTTTTGCAATTTTACACTTCATTTTCTATTTAATTTAATTTAAATACTGCATTTCAATGATGTTTTAAGCATTTTAGTGACGTTTTATTGGCCATAAACCCCAAGCAGGCACAAGACGTCAACAGGATGTCAGATTGACATTGTACCCTCACGTCATGGGGACGCTGCATTTTGTTTGGAAATGAAAATCGGCTTGCCATCAGAACTCAACGTCAAACCAACGGCAATGTCCAACCGAAACCTAGGAAAATATTAACATCTAATGATGTTACAGCTTGACGTTGTGTGGACGTGACCACTGTGACGTCTATCAGATGTTGCATTTTGGTTGCCATTCTTGATGAATAAATGTCTGTATTTGACATCAATAGGATGTTGGTTTAAGATGTTGGCTCAACGTTGGATTTTGGTCACTTTCTGACAACCTAAAATCGACCAAATATCATCGTCATTTGACGTCATTATTGGACATAAAAATAACTGTCCTTAGACGCTGACTAGCCATTGAATTTTGGTCACCTGACATGATAACCTAAATCTAACCTAATATTAACGTCTTATGACGTTGTGTGCGTGCTGGGCAATAACTAAATGCACTACAGAATGTTACGTTTACACACATATGCACAAATTACATGTAAATGCATCAGGTTTAAAGGGCCACTTTTTACTCATACTTTGAGTAATATTACAACAGATACTTTTACTCCACCTGCACTACATTTTTAGGCAAGCAGTGATACTTTTACTTGAGTATGATTTTTCAGTACTCTTTCCACCGCTGGTTGGCATTGGCCAAAACTGATTAGCAGAAGTCACATCGAAGTGGCAGCCAACAAAGGATTCCACTTGGTCTTAAAGCCTTTTTCGATTAGTTATTTTCACCATGACGGCATAGCAGTCAAAATAGTACAAATGAGCTCAATAAAATACATTCTGGACCTTTTTCAGTGAGGGATGGGTCTTTCAAACCACCCCGGCCACAGGCCTGTACTTCTATTCATTGCTAACCCCTAGGGCCAGACTGAATTTTTCATTCATTAATCAATTTTCCTTTGGCTTTATTTTACAACTGAGGAAGCTGCATACGATGTGACCGTGGTTTTAAAAATATATCTATGTCCCAGTCCTACTTAGTCCCGCATTCATTTTGAAGGAGCACTACCCTGTACTAAAATGGCGGCGTTATTGACGCATTCCTTCCAATAGACAACAACAAGGTAGGTGACATTTATGATAAACAATATATATCATAACTATATCTATATGATATTTAACAGGTTCACAATAATAAGAGTTTCTCTCAGCATGACTGATGAACCTGCATTTTAGAGGGACTTTTATTTTGGCACTCTGGCGTCGCGGAAGTGTGTGATGTTATTATCATGGCGGATCAGAGCAGTGATGCTGGTGAGTTTATCAGTTGAGTTAGTTTAATTCGTGTTTTAAGTCGTTTTTGTGAGGTAGATTAGCTGAAAATGCAGGATTGTGGTTTGCTGAAGTCTGAGGTGCTTTAATTAAGCTATTTACAGTCACCGAATCTCTTATTATCATCACAGACTGATGCACATGTGATTCTCATGCCTCTTTAATGACATTCAGAAAATAAACAACTGTAGCCTCATCATTTATTCACGATGGCTTAACCGCACTCATTTTGGTTGTCGGTTTACTGCTCGTATTTTTTTTTTTTTACAGATAATACACACAATATCTTGAAAAACAATGCTTTGTACTTGTAACCAGGTAGTACCATGGTATTCCTTGATATAACATGACTTACCATACTATACAAGATGTTAAATAACTTGCATTGTCATATCCTATGCAGAACATACTGTAGCCTTCTTTTGACACTTTTTTTAATGTATTAAATTGGGGTAAAGTTGCTTTTATTTGCACATTTATATTCGCTGTCAGTAGTACCACCACAATTGTATCTAAAAACAGTAGTATTACCACATTTGTTTCCCACATAAGCACTTCCCATATAGTAAATTAATGTAAAATTGTGGTAATATTGGTTTTATATTCCTCAATAATATAATATCAGAAAAGCATTGTTTGCAAAATTGAGGTAAAGTTGTTTTTATATTCGCACATTCGTTTATTTAGCTGTAACTATATTGTTTACCACGCTAATCTGAATATGCAATCAGAATTAGCATACAAGTATCAACACTAATTGACTGTAAACATGGTTGTATTTTGAGAGTCATTGGCTGCTAATATGATTTCCCAATTTCGAATTGGCAATAAATACTTTTCTGGAATTATATTATTAAGCAGAATGTCCGAATATCCAAATATATAACTAACTTTACCTCAATGTTTGCAAATAGTGAAATCATATTAGCAGCCAATGACTATCATAGTACAACATTGTTTACAGTGAAGTAAATATCTTTAATTGTTTTGACGTCATATTTACAAGTGATTTCAGACCCGATATTCACAACACCATGGTAAACAATATAAGAAGAATGTCACAAGTTGTTACTGAATGAATATGCGGACATAAAACCAACTTTACCCCAATAGCTTTTGTGTATTTTCAGTTTACTGGACTTATATTGCGGGCTTTGGTGTAGTATTTTTTACCCATAATCTAATGTTTAGACTTATAACATGGCAGTACTATAGTATTCATATACTTTACACACTATACAATATTATGTAAAGTATCATAGACCCAGTTTGTTCAGTTTCTTCATGATGATCAGATGTCTTTTTGCAGCACTGACTGCTGTCTGATAAACACCCCACTGGATTATTACAATTTAAAGCAAAAAATGTAAAACATATTAGAATCTGTACACTCACCGGCCACTTTATTAGGTACACCTTAATTATACTAAGTTGGACCCCGTTTTGCCTTCAGAACTGCCTTAATCCTTCATGGCAGAGATTCAACAAGCTACTGGAAATATTCCTCACAGATTCCCCCATATTGACTTGATAGCATCACACAGTTGCTGCAGATTTGTCGGCTGCACATCCATGATGCTAATCACACCACATTCCAAAGCTGCTCTATTGGATTGAGCTCTGGTGACTGTGGAGGCCATTTGAGTACAGTGAACTCATCGTCATGTTCAAGAAACCGGTCTGAGATGATTGAGCTTTATGACATGCTGCGTTATCCTGCTGGAAGTAGCCATCAGAAGATGGAGACACTGTGCTCATAAAGGGATGGACATGGTCTAATAATGTTGACCTTAAAATGGGTTTAAAACAATTAAAAAACTGCTTTTATTCTAGCTGAAATAAAACAAATAAGACTTTCTCCAGAAGAACAAATATTATAGGAAATACTGTGAAAAATTCCTGAATCTGTTCAACATCATTTGGCAAATATTTGAAAAAGAAGCAAATTCACAGAGGGGTGAATAATGACTTCAACTATGTGTGCATGAAAAGGACTCAGTGTTTGCGTGTGTGTGTGTGTGTGTGATCTCAGGTGCAGATGGAGACCTCTCCTCCGTCATGGGCTTCTCTGGGTTCGGTGAGTCTTCCTCACACAGTTCTGAAATCATCAGCTGAAGCTGGATGTTGTCTGATGTTGAGTTTTAATGCACGTTTCTGTCACGCTCAGGGAGAAAAGCTCGAACCTTTGACCTGGAGGCCATGTTTGAGCAGACCAGGCGGACGGCCATCGAGAGGAGCCAGCGAGTGTTAGGTCAGTCTTAAAAAAAAGAGAGAGAGTTACATTAACCATCACTAATCATTTAAACAATAATAAGTAGTGCTGGGCAAACATGAATCGAGACTAGTTTAATTTAAAATAACATTCAGGCGTAATTTAAATGTGTGTACTGTGTATATTTATTATGTATAATAGGCCTGGCACAACACATGACACATGCACATGACCTCAATCATTTTTGCTGATGCAATATAATATATCGCTCATACATAAACACCAATTCTGGCAACATTTGAAAAAAAGTGCTTTATTTCTTCTGTTCAGCACAAAAGAAGATATTTGGAAAAAGCTAAAAGCCTGTAACCATTGACTTCCATAGTAGGAAAAACCAATAATATGGAAGTCAGGGTCCAACATTTCTCAAAATATCTTCTTTTGGAAAAGAAACTACTTAAGCTCAGCTTCAGCTTTTTATTTTTACAGAAATGAACATTTCTAACTTCAAAAGAGTGCCCTGCACTGCAAAAAATGTTTTTCTTGCTTAGATTTTTTGTCTTGTTTCTAAATATCTAAAATTTCTTATATCAAGAAGCATTTTCTAGACAAGCAAAACATATTGTCTTGTTTTGAGAAATAAAACGCCAATATTGAGTGAGTTTTTCCTTAAAACAAGCAAAATAATCTGCCAATGGGGTCAGCAAAATAATCGTACGTCAAAAGAAAAAACAAGATTCTTTTGCTGACCCCATTGGCAGATTATTTTGCTTGATTTAAGGAAAAACTCACTCAATATTGGCGTTTTATTTCTCAAAACAAGACAATATTTTTTGCTTGTCTAGACTATTCTTCTTGATTTTTAGATCAATTTTTAGATATTTGGACTAGAAACAAGACAACAAATCCAAGTAAGAAAAGCATTTTTTGCAGTGTGGTTGCATATTTTCAAGTAGATTGATAATAATAGTCTTATTTTACAGAACCCCTCCCACAAAATTGTAAGATGCATGTAAAGTTTTGCATATTTATCAATAATTTCTTTTCATAATTATCTGAAAAACACACAAAAAAGGTCAGATTTTCAGCTATTTATTTGTTAAGTTTATTTTCCAGAATCTATCGTTTCTCTTCTTTTTATTTGTTTTTTTTAGTCATTTTATTCCACCAGGTGGCAGTAAAATTAAGAATAAAAATATGTTTATCTGATGTCAGGAACAATGTACTTTTAATATTTATATATATTTATTTGCACAAATACTCACATACTCAAATTCAAAAGCCACTTACATTATGAAAATGCTCTCATTTTGCAGAAAACGCTCTGAACTTTAAACAAGGGTTGAGTAAATGACAGAATTGTAATTTTTGAGTGAACGATCCCTTTAACTTTGAGTTTTCCTCTTCCAGAGGATCGTGAGAAGCAGGAGTTGGAGGAGAGCCGGCAGAAGGAGAAACCGTCCACATCCAGGTACATCATCATCATCATCATCTTTATCTGCTTAATCATGGGCAGATTTACACTCTATGAGCCCTATCATACACCCGGCGCAGGGCGCGACGCAGTTGTTTGAACACACTTTGTTATTGTTGTTCTTTATTAATTTGCTGGAAATTAGAACTGAATTTAGAAATAGCTTTGAAACAAATCTTTGTGCTTAACAAACTAAATTAATTATTTATAGGCTAATGGATGTCTGTGCGTACAACACGTTTCCCTATCCACGAGAGTGAAAGTGAAAGTAAATAAAGAGGAGGCTCGTTCTTTATCCTCGTGCTGCAGATGCTCTGTTTAACTGTTTTCTCTCTAGTGAAGCGTTCAGATTTTACACTTACAAAGTCGTCATGTAAAAAGCAAGTGCACCATGCAGCGACACAACAGACTCTTAAAGGAAATGTGAGGCGAGTCTCTGATTGGTTTATTCTCAAAGCATACCTATAACTCATTAAGAGAATAAGCTCAACCCTGTTAGACCATGCGCCACGGCGCAAATCGGATTTTTCAGAAGTGGATGAGGACATGCCCTTAATCCTTTAGCGCCCTGTGCTTTAGACTTTGCGCATGGATCGTCCAAATTGAGCCCTATGTGTCTGTTGAATGCTTGATTCTGATTGGCTGATGAGCATTCTAATGCCAAGTACAGACTCGACGTAAACAACAACAAACATTAAGACATAAAGACATAAAACAAAGACCAGGGGTGCCCAAACTTATTTTTTTTGTGAAGGGCCAAAACCAAACCTGATTGAGGCTAGTGGGTCCAAGGTAAATATAGGCCAACTTTGGCCTGCGTGCCCTACTTTGGGCATCTCTGACGTAGACATACAAAACTCTCTTTCTCTTAATAATGATTGAATCCTTTCGATTTGAAAAGATGAACCCTTATGACTGGGTTTGTGGTCAGATATGGTGACGTCTCTCTCTCTGGTGTGCTTGTGGTCAGGAAGCAGCAGCCGGACAGTGATGAGAGCGACTCTGATGTCATCGGTCCTCTTCCTCCACCTGCTCAGGCTGATGATGAAGATGATGATGATGATGATGAAGATGATGATGATGATGATGATGGAGTGGTCGGACCACCGCTGCCACCCGGATTCATGCGCAGCACTGCTGACGAGGATGATGATGAGGACGGCAATGAGGACGAGGATGATGATGATGATGATGATGTGAGTGTGTTTGTCTTCTCATTTGTTCCAGAAAACATCTCCATACCAGCGGATTAGGTCAGATCATAACTGGATTGTTTATCAGGATTATTAAAAGTGCTAAAAAGCTTTCGACTTGAATTCTAAGCGACGTCATGGTCTTAAAGTCCCCATGAAGCAGTTGTGATGAGAAAACAGTGGGCGTGGCTTGTTTTTTTCTACTGCAAGCTGATTGGATGTAGTAAAGTAGGCATTTCATTCAGAAAGAGGGGGAAAATTAGTGTAACACTTTACAGTAAGGTTGTTTTATTTAATGTTAGTTAATGCATTTGAACAACACAAACACACAACGAACAACACACCTATTACTGTATTTGTTCATGTTAGTTAATGGAAATAAAGTCGCCCATTGTTAGTTTAACTCGCGCTGCATTAACTAATGTCAACAAGCATGAATT